CGCGGAAGACGAATTCTTCCTGTGTTGCGTTCAGGCGTTTAGCTCGACTGCGGATTGTAGCTCCAATACAGTTGTTTAGTTACATTTACTCTACATCTGTCTGAATTCGCGTCCTTTTTTCTTGGAGAAGCCACGATCTTGTCGCGCAAGTAGGTATATATACCTGCTTGAGCGATCATTGCGGACAGGTGATCGAATCAAATGAGATTAAATGAATGATCAAATGAGATCATTGTGGACAGGTGGCTCACCTGTACGCAATGATCTCATTTAATTATAATTTTTCATTTTATTATCCCTTATCAACGCAGCTGGAATATTTTCCGAAACAACTGCTATGTTTTCCGATACAACTGCTATGTTTTCCAATAAAACTGCTGCACCGTATGACAATATCCCGGTCATGTCGGCCGCACTTCAACGGAGGATAATTTCTAGGTCTCTGTTTACTTATAGACTTAGATGTACGTTAAAGAACCTCAGGTGGACAAAACTGTAGGAGCCCGCCACTACAGAGTACCTCATGATCATATCGCGGTTCGGGGACTTGAAACCTCAGCAATTATCATTTTTATTACCGCGCCATATTCCACATGCAACGGAGTTCGGCTGCGATAGAACGGTGCTGGCGCGTAATAAAAATGACAGAAGGCTGGCGATGTCTGAACACTGCTTTGATAGAGTTTCACTGGCGTTAAAACGCAGTAACGGGGAGTGCAAACGCGAACGTGCACTATGTATATATATGGCGTCTCGATGGAAGCATCGGGCTGAGGTAAATAAAAGTAAACACAAGGCGCCGGTTGGGGGGGGGGGGGGGGGGGTTAACCCGTGGACAAGCCATTGCTCGCTAGCCACTGCACGCTCTCAACTGTTGTCGTTCCGATAGCATGGAGCGAGGTTTTGGGAACGCGGTTTTTACCATACAGACAGTACATGACAAAAATTTACTTCGGAAGCGACAGATGCTGTGGTTTGTTTTCGCAAGCAGCTGCTGACGATACCCGAGACCATTACTATGTTTCGTTTGAAAATTTATGTTCTAGACAGCGGACTTGTTGACACCCCTGCGTGGCTTCCACGTGGGAGATAGAAAAAAAAACAAGAAAATAAAAACCCAAGAGAACGCTGCCAGCAGTGATTCTTCCGACTCCGTTTTGGCCGCACTGCAGGAATAATAGCGTGAAAAGAGCACGTACGAATTTCAATATTGAACAGCTTTTTTTTGGTTTTGGTTTGAAATGACAGTTTAATAAAAACTATAATAGGGCGAGGAAAGAAGTACTATTGAAAGACAGCTCATTGGAGGGTCTGCGTGCATAACATAAAAAATAATGCTACATAACAAGAATTTTTTTCCTTCGATGTGATGCGTTGCGTAAAGGACTAAATAGTACCGCATTCCCAATAATTGAGCAGCTTAATTATATCCTCTGTGATATTCAAACACCAACTTGGCTGCATTCCTCACTTCGAGACAATTTAGGAAGTCCTCATATAAACCTGTATTTAACGCGGGCGCCTATACGTTAGAATTCTTTGTAAGGGTAAACTGCGTGGCCATTTCTGATGCTGTACACATTGATATAGTGATGATAATGGGCTAGAGGTACATCAGGCCTAAAGTGTAGTCATTAAAACAATTCTTTTCAGGCGAAAATGCTGTAAGCCCGCGTGCTCAGATTTGGGTGCACGTTAAAGAACCCCAGGTGGTCGAAATTTCCGCAGCCCTCTACTACGGCGTCTTTCATAATCGTATCGTGGTTTTGGGACGTTGAACCCCACATATCAATCAACAATTCTTTCCCCATCATTTTCACAAAGGGCACGAAATACAACATTGGAGATAAACTGACTACGTTATGCCTTACAGATAGTTAGGTGAGTTGGTTACCGGCGCTGTGTGGAGTAAAGGAGGACGAAAAGACCGGTGCATTTGTGTGCTTTCTGCGTTCGTCCTATATACATAGCGTTGTGCTCAACATTTATCGCAAGACTTTCGTGGTTCCCACACAAGTTTTACTTCGTTACTACCCTTATCTAAATAGTGCAGTTCCAGGTTAAGAGTAGGTCCGCCGCGGTGGGGTAGCGGTTAAGGTTCTCCGCTGGTGACCCGAAGGGGGCGGATTCGATCCTAGCCGAGGCGGTCTCATATTGATGGAGGTGAAATGGCAGAGACCAGTGTGGTGCGACGTCAGTGCACGTTAGAGAACACCAGCTGGTCAAAATTTCCGGAGCCCTCCACTGCGGCGTCTCTCATAATCATACCCTGATTTTGGGACGTAAAACCCCAGATATTATTATTATTATTGAGGTTGGGAGTAGCCATGTTTGCCACGAGAGCTGTCCCCAAGGTGCATATTGTAGAGGTCCGAAAAGACCGCCACAGGTTGTTTCTCGCTGGTAAACAGTTAAATCAGCATCATATATCGCATATTCATCAGGCGGGACTCTTGCCATGCAATTTTGATTTCAACAAACAAATGAGCAAATACATTCATCTGCTTTCGTACTACATATTCACCGATCACCTAGCAGAGCTTAGTTCAAGGCTGCGTTCTGCACAGGGTTGTTCGTTCTCAGACGAGCTGCAAATGTCAATAGATGCGGCAGCACCGCCATCTATGCTTTTCATGCGTGAACCATCAGTTCGTATCATAAGCGTGCGCAGAGTTCCCCTTCAAAAGGTGGGGTGTGGGCAAGGTACATCATCGGTGTATTCCTTTCTCTATTGAGTCAATGTATGGGGCAGACTTTGTGCCCCCTCCCCTACTTCACAGGTGACTAGGAGGGCGCCCCCCCCCTCCCCCCGGGCGCATGCCTGTGGTTCGTAGTACTTGTGATCTCGCCACCTGGGACATCACTAATCTATGCTTGCAATTATTCACCTTCTTTAGTGAAAGATTCCTTCAGTGGAGGCTCAGCTGTTAATACTAGCGGAAAGACATAATAAGCACTTTCAGCTGACATACGAGCTGTGTTTCAGGCCATGTTTATTATGTATACATTACACACGCAAAAAAACTAAATAAATAAAAGTAGGTAGATTACTGCGAGTGTTCAACCCTTTCTCTTCTCGAGTGTTATTCATGTGGAACACTTGGGGGATTTTCTCAGAGAAGAAAAGTACCGAAACGCTCAGCCCGGGTACTTGTCATGAGAACACAGCGTTGTTTGTAGGCATTGAACACTTTGCGCCGAAACGCAGCGCGCACCGTCTCACACGTTAGCAGCGCTTGAAAAAGGGCTTGCTCCCGACGTCCTCTTTTTGCAGTGTATCAATTTATCAGCGTTGTAAGTGCGCCATTCTATTCAAATCAACCTGCCAGCCTTTCTCTCTTAATTATATAAACGAAACGTTGGCAGACGTCGTCAGTTGTGTATGTGGCGGTAAATTACAGCCATGCATGTGCTAGCCATACACGCGCGAGGAATACATAAGCTTAATATAATCGAATCAACTCCATCAACTTTAGGCTTACTCTTCTGGTAGCATGGGGTTGGAAGGTAGAACGAGAACACGGAGGGGTAGCTAGGCGGATTACTCCTTCTTGAAGTGTTTTCTCGACGCGCATCAGACGGGAGTGGATATATGAGCGGCTGAGCAGAGCTTTCACAGGTCCCTTAGCACGGCATCTTTTTGCTTCAGAGCATCTTAAATACTAAGTTCTGTCTTGCGACGACATAAATATATCAATTATCTCCTTAAATATATTTCTCTACCTCCTATCCTTGACCTGTTGCTGAAAAGACTGCCCCTTTTACCGCAATACAAGCACATCGCAACGGCCCACTTTTCCATTTCGAATGCTTATCGGTGAACCCACCATCTCAATTGACACGGCTATACACTGTATCAAAAGCTCCCCGCACTGGCTCATGCTTGAATGATATACAATAATATTTCGCTTAAAAGGACACTAAAGGCAAATGACTACGTCAGAGGAAAAGCTTAATGTATGATGTCTAAAACGGCAATTATGTAAACAGCAGTGTCTTAATTACCAAGAATTTAAGCTAAATATTTCACATGACGTGTGTCACGAGTGGTACATTTGCGAAACGACCCAGAAGATGTGAGCGCGTCTGACTACAAATAATCACTAGTAATCAAACTAGCGGCAATATGAACAACTTTCCGTGCATCGAGAGATGCAATAAAATGCTGTTGCTCATTTTCGTTTGATTTATATACTAAAAAAGAAACAATAGCCTGGCATTACTCTGGGGAATGGCGCGAGTGGTTCAAAAGTTGTTTTCGGCTGGTTAGGCTGGATAGGTGGTGCCATCTACAGGAACCCAGTTCAACTAAGCAAGCAGAATCTTGGTTTCCGAGATGGCAGGAAATAGTTGAATGGCCATTGTTGCTACTGTTGCTCTCACTACTTTCGCTCTGCTGCTACGAGTGTCGGTGGCCGCGTAGTAAAGGCGGGCAACGTTGGGCATGGTAAATGTGACGTCTAAAAGGCCGCTTTATTGCGGGTGATTTGAAGTGCGCTGACGCGATGTGAATCATGAAGACCTGATTCTACTTTAAAATAAATACTTCACTGGAACAAAAGTTGCACTACAAACTTTCTGGACCATTATTTCAACAATCAACGTGGACCTATTATTTGCTTTTAGTGTCCTTCTAAGTGCTTCCTTCCCTCTTTATTCGACTATTTTGCGCAGGCAAGAATAGGTTTTGCAGCACTCACATCAGTAAAACTAAAACGCCGATTAGACTTAATGGGAGCGTAGTGGTCGATATTACCGCGATCAATAATTATTTATGTAGTATACCGTTTCAACGGAAGTCGTTGGTGTGACCGTACCAGATATGTCTGTCCGGGATATACCTTAGCATCTTTTTTTTTTTTAGTATGCACGAACTTTGTTAAACGCAGAACAGGGATGCAGTAAACTATCCGCACCATATGCGCACAATATCTGAACCAAATGCGCAAACATGCAATGACCGAAGGATCACAAGGAGCGCGAACAGCGGGGCGAAGTAAGCCGACCGCACACGACCATCTCTTTATCGTGGTAACAAAGAGTCGAATACTTGTCCGAACATACGTGCTCTTCCAATCGCTCCGCAAGGGTGTACGATCGATACGTTCTAGAGCTTGAGTAATACGCTCAGACTTCCCTTGCCGCAGTGACTGAGACCAACGGCGTTTAGAGGAAGCGTGCCCTGGGCAACGTTACACGGCGGACTAAGTGACATTGCGCTACGTTCCACCGACCCCGCCAACAGACGTACGCGTGACGAACGCGACTTCGTCTTAGAAGGCCGAGAAGTTGAGGTCGTGCTGCGCGAATATCTGCTCGAAGCGGGCCGGCACGATGGCCTTGCGGTAGCACCGGGGCACGCGCATGTGTGACTCGAGGCCCAGGTCTTCGGCCAAGCCGACGCCGTCAGGGTTGCAGTCGACCACCATCATGGTGAGGCTGACGCGCGTCAGCGGGTTGCCGTCCACCAGAGCACGCAGCAGAACGTCGGCTGCCCGGCGATCCTCGGCGTACAGGGGCCCCATCATGGCACCGCCCAGGATGTTGGTGCCTATCTTGCCGAAGCCGCACACCACCTCGCTGCCGTCGGGCCGCCGCCGTACCACGGCTCGAGCGAACCCGTCCGTGTCGTAGACGGTGTAGGTGACCGCCTTCTCGCGGTTGTAACAGTGTACCAGGGCGTCGTAAGCGATCACCTGCGACACATAAAAACCACAGAGAAAGAGGTGATTTTTGCCACAAAAATAGCATCTCGAAATAGCATTTCGCATTTCGAAATATTGTACTTAAAAAAAGGTTCATCACACTTGAACAAAACTGATATGTGGGTGCCTGTGTATCCCTCCCCCCTTATTACTTCGGGCTCCTAAGGCATAATAAATTAAATGAAATTTCGCTGTCAAAAGACACCTAGCATTCGCCGCTCCTCTGTCTGTTTGTAAGATAGACAAAATAAAGTAGATCAATTGATTTATTAATTTATGGCCACAAATGTTAGTCTATAGGTCATGGTGTTTGGAAATCCTGTATTTTAAGCCTTTTTTGATGAATTTGTCACATTTCACTGAAACTGACCGTGGGGACATATCTGGCTCACAAGGCTCTGGCTTGTCTGGCTCACATAGTTTTTTTAATTTAGTATTTTTTGTTTTTTGAAGGTTTCATCACAAAAATAAAATTGATTGTGTAGGCATTTCTGACTGTAAAAATAAACCTTCAGCGTTTTTAGCGTTTGGAAACTTTGAAATCTTACATCACACTCGCTCACATCATACTCGCCCTGCAGGAGATGTTGGGAGGTGTCTGCATGCCGCCACCATAACTAATCTGCGTTACACCGAAGTACACATGGGTGGTGGCGGCGGTGGTTCCCTGCAACATGCAGGTGCAGGTCACCCATGGTGGCTGCTATGAGGGTGCACGCCACCTGCCTGAAGGCAGATAGAGCACAGCTGGTTTTAAGTAGGCAGCAGGTCCGCAGCCACTTTTAACAGGAGCCTCAGGTTCGCGTTTTCCAGGTCCGTGTGGAGCTGGAAGGGTGCCTTCGTGGGTGGCCGAGGCTTGGTAGAGGCTGGTTGCTGCTTGGAACCAGCAAGCGGCCCCCGCTGTGTGCGCCTGACTGGCGGGAATGGTTCTAGTTAACTGCCACGTTAGATAGAGCTCCCACCATGGCAGCGTAGCTGTTGCCTGTAGTCTGTTTTAGCTCAGGACCACCCATCCCGCTACGGGTTGCCCGAAAGGTTGCTTCAGCCCCTTGATGAGGCAGGTAGAAGGGAGCTGGTGCTTCGATGGTGGCCAGGTGCCGCTCGCTTTGCCGGAACTGGCAGTCTGCGAAGTCAGCTGAATGTGGCCTGCCACAGTGCAGGTATCTTACTTTGCCGGTACAGTTGGCGTTTTTTCCATGGCGGCCACCGTATCGCAGGCACGACTCTGGTCCTCGGCAAGCGGCAGTTATATGCCCATAGCGTCCGCACCACAGGTATACTGAAGCGGGCGAGGTCGGGATAGCTTCACTTCGAACACCACGCGAAAAAGGCGAACCCGAGCGAGAGATACGGGAGAAGCGAACCGCAAGACTAGTGAGGTTCCTTGTCACCCGGCTGCAATCACCGGCATCTCGGACGTCACTTCTGCCAGGAGGGCCTCGTCGGTGTAATCGCCGTCGACGCCTTGCACCACCCCACTGCTTTGTGAACGGTGAGCAGGAGGGCGGGCAGTCACGGTTATTCATGGGAGCTCCGAAGTGGCAACGAGGCAATCCATCCATTCTGCTATATATGCGTCTGCTGCTACAATGTTCGTTTTCGTATTTATTCGCCCCTGCTTGACTCCGGGCCACGCACAGAAAGCTTGCGCAAAAGCAAGGCGGGGGGTGCGGTGAAAGGAAGCGCTGTCATTTGCCGGTCGGAAAAGAACAATGCCTGAATCTAGCGACGACAACGCAGAGGGCAGCATGGTGTGTGCAGCGGCAAGTACTCCTGCAGGAGCGGCCTGAGTCGCTGTGGCAGGCCCGGGAACTGTGGGCAGGTGTAGCCGTAGGTGCAGTGGCAGGAAGAGGACCAATGTGCGCAGCGGGTCCCGGAGACGTCACGGCTCACTGACAGTGCTTCTGCGACCTGTAGGCGATGGTCTAAAATTCGGACTCGTAGGTACCATCGGTGTCGTGAGTGATGGTGTGCTCATTGGAAACCGCGTCACTTGACGGTGTGGTAAGCGACGAAACCGTGAGACGTTCAGTCGCTACTGCTTGTATCTTCCGCGAGGCACCCTAGTCGCCGCTGCCCGACTCGCTAGGACGCGAGCGCTTTCACGTAGATGTAGTGTCCGGGCCGGCAAGACAAGGTTCTGCGTCTAATGGCACTGGTGCGTCCTGCGAGTCGGTGACGTGCGCGAACAAGAAGGTCATCACAGCGCGAGATACGACAAAATTCGCCACAAGCGAGGAAGAAGTTAAAAGCTTCCCAACCGTGCCGAGAACTTCGTCAGCACATTCTCGCCATCAGCAGCGTTCGTGCCTGCGCCTGCGTTCCTTGTTCCATCTTCAGGGTTGCGGTCAAGTAGCCGGCGGTTACTTTTATTTTATTAGATCTACCTCTTGTTCCGCAACTGTTTTAGTGCATTGATAAGTGTAACTTCTTCTTATTTCATGTCTGTTTCTTCTCCGGGCCGGAGGCCTGCCCTCTGGTCAGCCTCTGTTCCCCCTCAAGATCTTCCCCTGGAGTTGTTTCTCCACAGTGGAACCCGTAGCTTTCCTGTCGCTTTGGTTCCGACCACCGGGGGGTTCATCCGCATGAAAAATCCCAAGACAATCCAAACGGAACTTCGTGCGATCACTCCCCACTCTCTACTGATAACAGAGGTTCGTCAGCTTGGACGTGGGTGGATACTATGCTGCTCACCAGACAAGGCTTGCATCCAAGACCTTCTGAAGTGCACAACTTTTGCATCACATCCAGTGAGCTCTTTTGTCCCACCTCATCTAGCTTGCTGCAAAGGATTGGTTCAGGGGGTAGACGCAAGTCTAAGCCCAGCAGAAGTCTTGGACATCTTTTCCCCAGCAGGTGTTATTTCTGTTTACCGCTGTACCAAACAGGAAAACAAACAGAAAGTTCCCACTGAAACTGTAATTGCCACATTCGCTGGAACAGATCGCCCTTCGGAGATCAAGGCATGGCCGCTTATCTATAAGGTTGAAGCTTTGGTTCCCCAACCACTGCAATGTGCTTAATGTTGGCGCTTTGGGCACAGTACTAAAGGTTGTCGATCAGAGACTCAATGCCGCATATGCGGGGCCATATACGGGGCTGGTCATAGTACTGCTGAGTGTCAATCAGACAATAAGACATGCTGTTTGTGCAAGGGAAATCACGCTGCAGACGATCCTAACTGCCCTGCAAGATCAAAGGAACTTCAGGTGATTGAAATCATTGAAAGGAGACGATGCTCTCGTAGAGAAGCAATTGCAGAAATTCAAAGCAGCAATCAGGGTTATGCCGGCATAGCAGCTCGTCCACCTCTTTCTATGGATGCATCACTTTTTCAGTCCATTTCTGCTACGGTAGAAAAGGCCGTAAAAAAGTATTAGAAAAATTTTTACTCAATCTGTCCGACTCACTCAATAATATTATGGATTCACAGATGTCGGGCGCATCTGATCGAATAACTAAGCGCATCCAACCTCCTAGTGCCTAATTAATAAACCTGCCGAACATCAGTCAGATGTCTCTATCGATAATGAGGCAATGCCTTCCAGATCTAACACAACTGAGCAGGAAGGTATATCTGATTCAGAATCAATAAGTAATCGGGATGTAGATATATATGCTCGCCTTTTGAAACGCACCAGGTCACCCACTAGCAAACTTAATAATTCGTCTCATCCAAAAACAAGAAAGAGTGTGAAGGAACCTAGGACTAAAGCGGACTTCTTAAAAGACAGTATCGTAGATCAAGCAGTTGCTACTGCTTGCTTATCATCATAAGGTGCCTTAGAGTACTTCAGTGGAACTGCCGTTCAATTCTCTCTGCAACTACAGACTTATTATACCTAATTTCTCAACAATCTCCAGACGTCATAATTTTACAAGAAACTTGGCTGCCTGCTGATCAAAACTTCTATCTAAAAAACTATCAGTGCTTTCGACTGGACCGAGACTCACGTGGTGAAGGATTAATGTTTTTAATTTCATCCAAAATTTGTCATAAAGCACACTTAGTTTACCAACAAATATCACACGATTATGAAGTATTGGTTCTGGAAATTCACTTTCCCGGATGCGCGCCACTATCTATAGTCAACAACTACTTTCCGGCTGGAATACAAGGTGAAAGAGCCCTTGACGTGACTGGGGGTTTTTGCAGAAACAGTATACTATTTGCAGGAGACTTCAATTCTCATCACGTGTCATGGGGATTCCGCACTGATTCATCAGGAAAACGGTTGTGGGACTGGACTAATCGGAATAACCTTATTTGTTGGAACTCCAGAGTTCCGACATTCGTTCGATGTAATTCGAGGTTCGTCTTAGATTTGACATTTGCTAGCTCAAGTTTGACAATATCGTCTTGGACTGTTCTTGATACCGCTACAAGTAGTGATCACTGCCCCCTGGTATTTGAAGTCAGCATTCCTTTAGTGACGGTAGATCGCCAGGTGCAAAGTTTTGTAAACTACTCTAAATTTAAGAAGAATTTACAGCCAACGCTGTCTTCCTTGCCAAATATGAAAGCAAATATCAAAGATATGAGCCTTTGTTCCACCCTAAAGTGTACAATTAAAAAATCACAGCTCACTATATCTTCAACAAAGGGAAAATTCATATCTGCCTGGTGGAATGTGGATTGTGCCAGACAATATAAATATAGACGCCGCAACGCTGCATGGAAAAAACTCCTTACCAACCAATGTCCGACTAATTGGAGAAATTATTTATTTGCTAAAGCTACCTTTAAGAGAACAGTTTCATTAGCGAAAGACGAATATGAAGAAAAACGGTACAGCTATCTATCCAAGAGCGGCAACAAGAAAGCTCTATTCAGATTTCTCCGTAATCGTTAAGCTATTACAGCACGCGTAAATATTGACTCAGTTATTTTTTTTTCTAACTGGGTTGGAAGATACATTAACTGAAATTGCATTAGGATTGGAGAAGAGATACACATCACAAATCAAAATAAAGTGTGCAAAACCGTCATT